CGCTCGCAAGCGCTTGCTTGTTTATTTATAGTTATAGCGTGTGTCGAGACGACAAATAAATTTTTGGACAGCAATTTCATGCAACGTGCCAGGCACAAATGAAAAAAAGTAAGAAACAGAGCGAAAATGTGGATTTGAATTTGCCACACACCAAGAAAGCAAGTGGCGGAAAGCACCACGCTTAAAAGCAACGCCAACCAATTCAAGTCACATTGCATTTATTTATAAGCACTAAGCGAGAAGATGCAACCTGTCCATATGGCAGCGGCCTTGCCAACTGTGCATGCAGGCAACAGTTGCCGTTAGATGCGGCATTACCAGCTCTCACTATGAGTGTGATTAAAGCAGAAAGTAATGCTTAAGTTTTATTTGATGTGCTGTTTGCTGATGCTGATTCGATAGATTTTATTTGAGCAAAATCAGTATTTTACAATTTCACTATGCCCTTTACATATATGGAAAAGCTTAACAACATCGAACCCATATATCATATTGCTGGCATAGGAACGATCGGTCGAAAATTAAGTTATTGTTAGAAAAACTTTTTTTAAATATCTTTACAAAACTTTGGACCTTCTAGTTTTTTTCATGCGTCGCACACAAAGAAGTTATATCTTATCATCTCCAGACATCCTATATTATAAAGCTATATCGGCAAATTGGCGAAATATGAGTTTATGTTTGAAAAAGTATTATGTTTTTTAAGATATCTACACCAAACTAGCAACTACGTGGTTTTCACAAATATATATAATCGTCAGCGTGTCGAAGATAGTCGTTTTCTTTGATTTCCTTTGTTGTATGTAAAATTTTAACTAAGTGTTGACGCCACCTAGCGGTCAGCTTGGGCAAAAGGCAATTTTACGGCTGGGGCACTACTTTATTAGCATGCAACAACATAACAAATGCAAAAATGTCCAACTGAAAAATACATTTAACTAGGAAATGAAAAACAGCACTGTCACTGACAAGGATGCGAGAGAGTAAGAGCGAGAGAGAGATAGAAAGCGAGATGGGGAAACAGAAGAAAGAGCATTCTGACAGCACGCCATTTGGGCACATGGCAATTTCCGTCGAGAGCACATGACAAAAATTGTAGAGCATGCCACAGGACGGATGCGGTGGTGCGGTGGAAGAGGTGCTGCGGCCGTACGTTAGTAAGGCAAATTCTTTTTGGCCAAACTCTAACAAAAAGTTAAAGGTTTAATTGTGCGCAACGCTTAAAATGCAAGGCTGTACAGTCAGAAGGGGGGCGAGGAAGTTGCAGGTTTGTGCTGTGAGTGCAACATCTGTGACAAGTTTTATTAAGTTTATTTTATATTTTCACATTTGCTGGTGTGCGCAGAGGAGAGGAAAAGGGTTAACGACGTGCTATCACAATTTTGTCGGCTTGCATTGTGTTTGTGTGTGCCAGTTTGTGTGGTCAGCAGGGTAAGGAGATGCTTTGTTGCAGCTTTGATAATATCAAATGTGGATGCTATAAATAGAAGTTAGTGAAGTCTGGGGCATAGGGAGTGCTGCCCTGTCACACACAATTTTTATATGGCAGGTGCTCACACACACTTGACTGCTCAATGGCCTTTGCAAGCTAGAGTCAGCTTCAGTTGAAGTTGTCGCACGCCGGACAAAGGTCACTTAAAGCGCTTGCATACTCGTAAAACGTTTAAATGAAAGAAAAGCTAAGGGTTACAAGCGCCAGGGTGTGGGGAGTAGGGGAAAATAGCAAAGGAGCTGGTGGAGCGGCAGGTAATGCATATCCTCGAGGGAAGCTCGTCGGGTGTGTAAAATATTTAAGTGCCATCAGTTGCAGTCATACTTTTTTAATTGACTTATCAATAATTCATGCGAAAAACACACACATATGCACACGAGGCAGCGGGTTAAAGGGTAAGCTAGAAGGAGACAGGACATATGCCACACTTTCATAAATACAAATGAAGTCAGCGGCTGAGCGCGAACGCGAAAGGTGTGACAAGTGCGAGAGATTCGAGCTGTTGGCCAGGTCGACGACTTGCCTTGGAATATTTATACACATATGTATGTCCTGTGCACGCCCTGCCACGCTGGGTGATGCAAGGTAGCAGTCAGGAATGTGCCCATTGTACACGGCAAAAAATTCCATTTTAAACTTAAGCCTTAATAAGTTTTATAGGATTTTTAAATTGCGGCTTTATTTTTTCTATGTATACATATATTTCATTTATTTATTAATTTTTGTATTTATACAATTTTTTATCCTGGAGTCCAGTTGCCGTCATATACCAGTTGACTGCTAAGACTTAATCCTCTTCAAAAAGGTTGTTTTACTTTCTGACTTGTTTTAACTAAAACGACTGGGGTTGGGTAGGTTGTAGGTGGGTTGCATCAGATGAGTGCAAAAAATAAATATTCGATGATTTTTCAAGCCAAAAATCGTTACTAAATCTCATGCAGTAGATTCCCAGCAGATTTAATACATCTCATAGATATTATTGCAGACACTTCAGCATAGGGCCCAGGCTAAGTATAAACCATATTTGTTTAAAATTAGAATAAATTTTCTGTCTTTGAGTTCGGTTCATGAATCCGATATTAAGCAAATTCACAAGCCCAGGTTTTGGTCTCCAATATGAATTTATAGCTTTAATAAAACGATTCATATTATAATTTAGATATTTTCATATAGAAGTTGGAGAGTAAATTTTATCCCTACTTTATTGAGGCCCAAAATATGAAATCTATATCCATCTATCTGACTCTCAAATAAACGCTTGTAGAATTAAACCAGAATATCTTTGAGCAAGATATGGTGCGATTCGGGAGTTATTTGTGTGTTGAGTTATGGTAAAAAATTAGGTGGAAGTCCAGGTGAATATTTTATTGATTATCATTAATCATATAACTGTTGTTATTATGTGTTTTATTTATGCTAAGACAGCTTACATTATTGTTTCAAGTATTTTTTGCAGTGTTCAGCCATTTCGCCCTATATTTAATTTGATTAATTTGAAGGGACAGCAGAGTTATTTCTGCTTACTGAATTCCTGCTGCAAATATTTTTCATTTTCGTGTTCATCTTTATCTTGTGCTCCACTCTTGGCAATTTCAACTGTAGCCCAAAGTGGAAGCACGTGATTGATGCATTTTTAATGCGCTTTTTGGGGAAGCAGTTTAATGCATTACACTAAAGGGGTTGAAGAAGAGATGTGAAGAGCGGTGGCGCGGACTGGAAATTGGGCCCGCAGTGGTTATATTCGCAATTTTTGTTGTTGATGTTGGTATTGCGCATTCGTTTGAAAAATGCAATTGCGTTGCGCGCCATTATTAAGCCTTTAAATAAATTTAGTTGACATCTCGCGTGCATCACATTATAAATATTTTTTGAAAAACATAATCAGGGCAAAGGTTGAGGACGCAAACAAAAGCAGAGCAGTAGAGCATTATACATCAAGGATAAAATCAAATTTAACGCATCGCTTCCATTCGTGCAAAGGTTGCCTAAGGAGGAGAGTCTTGTGAATGCGCCTCGCTTGCTGAATGCTTTGAGTTTGGGCTCTGCGCCCTGGGCTGCTTTAAGAAAGGCCACGTAGCACTTGACATGAGCGGAGACAAATGCATACACACACACAGACACTCACACACATATATATACTCACACATGCACTCTCACTGAGGGGGCTCACAGGAGGGCGTTTAAGTGTGATTTAGGGCGTGGGTGGGGACCTTGGGCACGTGCCGTCGGATAACGCGCCGTAGCTCAGTGGGAAGTCGCCGCCAAATGAAAAAGAAGCAGCGTGAAAAATGTGTAGCATATGACAAGGCGCATAATCAAAAGCAAAGTAAACCAAAGGCTGGCCGAATCCTCCGGCAGAGCCAGCGCCGCCAGCCTCTTCAGCTGCCTGATGCACATGCCCGCTTACATTGGGGGCGCAGAGGCGAGCTGCTGCGTTTGGTTCTTATAACACAATATTACACCCCACCGAAAAAAAAGGGGAAAAATCAAAAGTCAGTTCACAAAATGTTACGCCCGAGCTGCCGGTTGATGTAGCGCGCACAGCTCTACACATGAAAGTGGCATTGGTAATGGGCTAGAGATTAGAATGTCTGTGTGGCTGTGCGTGGGTGTGTGTGTCAGCGTTTGTGGGTGAGTATGTGTGTGCGTGTGTGGGACTATGTGTATAAATGTTCAAATACACGCACTTGACATTTCAATCATGAGTTTGTTTGCGTACGGCTTATTATCTGCGCTTGGACTTTTACGATGCAACTCAAATATTCAACAAATTCAGGAAAATATTTTAGGTTAACGTTGCTGGGACAATATTTATAGGTATTACTATAATATGACACATCTCTCATTAATGTATGCTTGTTTAATGGGAAAACACTTTCATGTTCGATTCTATCAGAGGTAAATGTATTTCTGGTAATATTTCTGTATGATTATTACTATTTATGTATGTATATGATTATAACGAAATTTGAAGAATTTCTAAATATTAACTATCTGCGAATAATTTTTCACTATTTTCGAATACAACTCGCCCAACCTGAAGAGCGAACGGAGCTCCGGTGTCGTAAAGTTTTCTTTAACAACGTTTATATTCCTAGAGAGTATGTCTAGTTGATAACACAAGAGAAAGGAAATTTTTGTTTGCAAGAACTTTTGATTTCAAGTTTGAAACGCAATTTATTACATTTTAGATGTATTCTCTGTGGCCCCGTCCTGCAGATACATTTTGTTAAATAACAATTGGTTTGTTCTCCCTTGCAGTTAACTACCTTTGCGTTGGTAACTTAAAACTTGGGGGTGAGGCCACTTTTTTAAAATTAAATAAAAAATAATGGTATTTCTTGGCTTCTATCGCAACGGCCTCGAATTATATTTTTGATCACTTGAGCAGCATTTGGCCACAAACCGATTATTTTGATAACTTAGTTGGAAAAAAGTAAACTCTTAGTTATCGACTCCAAAAGTTTTCGAGTTTTGTCTTCCCTTGAAAATGGGTTGTCGCACTTACCTCTTCCTCATTGCTGGCCGTGTTCACGGAGTCCATGCTCTGTGATAGTCCCAGCGGGGCGAGCGCCATCTGATTTTCCATTATGCTGGCGTCTCTGCTGTTGTTGCCGATTATTGCTGTTGTTGTTGCTGCTGTTGTGTTTGTGTTGTTGTTGTTGCTGTCGCTGGCGACTGTTGCTGCTGTTGCCGCGGCGCTAACGCTGCCCGCCGGCGAGGGAGTTGTCGGCGCTGAAATGGACGCTGACTCGTGCGACTGTGACTCGTGCGCAGAGCTGCCCGGGGAATTGCTATTTGTAATGTTGTTGCCTGCTGTGGCTGTTGCTGCTGTGGCAACGCTTAGCGCAGTGGTTGTTACTGCTTGGGTGTTACTGGCGACAGTTGCTGCTGATGTGCTGCTGCTGCTGCCGCTCTGTTGCTGCTGTTTGTTGTTGCTGCTGCTCAGCACCAAATGCTGATGCTGTGGCGTGTACTGTGCGTGCGCGTGACGCAGCTGATAGCCGCTGTAATGGGCAGGTGTCTGCTGCTGCTGCTGTTGCAGCGCAGCGACGTGCTGCTGCTGTTGCTGATGCGCAGCGGCAGCTGCAACGGCTGAGTGCTGTAGATGCTGATTGAGCAGAGCTGCGGCGGCGGCCGCCTGATTGTACTGCGCCAAACGCTGCTGCTGCTGTTGCTGATGATGTTGCTGGTGTGTATGGGTTGCCTGTTGCTGTGAGGCAGCGACTGCGTAGGCGACCTGCTGCTGCTGTTGCTGCTGCTGTTGCTGGTGGTGCGCGGCAACTGCGGCCGCAAACTGTGTGGGATGTGCAAAGCTCAGTTGATGGCCCTTGAGCGCAGCTGCTGCTGCTGCTGCGGCTGCGGCGGCTGCTGCTGCTGCCGGCGAGCTAGCGTACTGCAAATGGGCACTGGGTGCGGTGACTGCTGCTGCGGGCACTGGCAGCACAGATACGGCGGCGGCGCACTGGCGCTTGGGCGACGGCGACAACACCTGTGGGGCACTCGCTGGCGTTTGCGGCAGCGTCGGCCTGCGTTTAATCGCAATCGACGAAATGGTGATGGCTTTTTCAAACACTGGCTGCTGGTTTTGTGTGTTGGTATTGGTATTGGTGTTGGTGTTGGGTATTATGGGTGTTGCTGTCGTCAGCGTTGTCAGCGTCGGCGTCGTCGTCACTGCGGGCAGCAGTTGCAGTTGCGGTTCGGCGATGTGGAGCAGATGGTGATGGCTGCCCAACAGGTTTTGATTCTGGTAGTGGGCTATGTTGGCGACTCAGTTAACCTGAAAGAGGGCAATAAAAGGATTGAACCACATTATTGGTTTGCTGGACAAATATTTGAGCTGCTTTTTTATTATTGCCTTAGAAATATAGTAAAATTTGCAAATAACATTTCCATATTGTCAATAATACTTGTAAGTTGATTCAACATACTGCAAATGTTCGCACCCCACAAGACGTGTGATTGGCGGTCCGTAAGAGAGGGCTACGCAAGAGGCTGTGCTTGAAAAAGCTGCATAATTCAAGAGCAAACATGGCGACAATTCAATAGAAAATATAACACAGTGAGCGAAATTCGAGCATCCAAACTTGTTCCAAGCTTCAAGTGTACCAATGGCAATATTCAAGATGTGCTCTTTCCGTTTTGTCAACTGAAACTGAAATTTCATCAGCTGTATGTGCTGCAACAGGCGACACCTTGTTCCGAATTCGACAACCAATTCGCGTGGTGTTGAGTTTTTGTAATCTAAAAAACGAATTTGGGGACCAGACTGTGACGAACAGAACGCATTTGACCAAGTGAAGAGCAAAATAAACATTTTCGCCAATTTTAGGGCACACAAATTTCCTTAATTTCACTTTGCTGCAGACAAAAATGTTAACTTTTACAGTTTTCAAACACTTTCTTTGAATTGTAATAGTGTATTTATATATAAGATTTATATTTAATGAGAAAAACAAACCTTTTTTAAAAACTCGATTATGAGAAAAATGATTGCTCTTCGATTATTCTTATCGATAACATCAACTTGTGTATTCGATAGTTTAAGAACCAGTTGAATTCAATGTATAAGTTGACGCACATATATATGTTGTTTGGTTAGTGGTTGACAAAAACAAATAAACTAAGCGTGACTTCTTTTTATTATCGATAACAATGACATAGTGCCTTCGATAATAAACCACAAACTAAATACGCATATTACTGAACCAGTTCTATTTTTTTTTATGTGAGCGAACCAGTTGAATGCATTAAACGTAAAAGTTGACGAGACCGAATTAAAACAACAGAGTTCAAGAACAAAGAACGCGCCTGTGATAGAATAATGATAAGCAGGAAGACGCTCGTAGAAAATGAGCAAATGAAAGAAAACACAGACAGCATGCAAATTGTGTAGGTCAGTCCCAGACACGATGCCAACAATTCGCACTGTGTATTTCTATTCCGTTTGTATTTCGCTTTCGGTTATCGCCAAGAGCCATCGGCAGTATCCGCAGCTGCTGGCAACTCCATTGCGCAGTCAAGAAGAGAATCTGAATACAGCTGAATGAGAATAACAGCAACCGCAAAGAAAATAAACAAACGAAAAGACAGACATTCCGACAGTTTGGACATACAGAATGGGAATCGAATATAGACACACACACACATATGCGAAACAACTTGAAAATTGAGCTGACAACAAACCGAAATTGTATTACAAACGAGCGCTCCAAAAATATGCACATAACTAAAGCTATGATCCCAGAGAGATACCATATGTATATACCGTACATATGAGTGTTCGTATTGTACAATATATGCACATATTTGACTACAATACACAAACAGGGCTATGAATGCGGATTATAATGGCGCCAGGGAAGCACTAAGGACACACGGCGAGCGGCAACAAGCGACTCGAATCTGTCGCCCATCAACGCCCGAGTATTGTATGTGTATCTGTATCTGTATCTGTGGGTTGGCGACGCCAAGCATCTTAGATACGATATATCGCCTCACTTTGCATACGACAAATTATGCAGACAATAAATACGGCAGCAGGGGTATATATAAGTATCCTCTTACACCACCCTCTCTCCTCGAAACTTCCAGTAGCAAGAGCTTGATAGCCCCAAATGTGTTGCTTTTATTTGGGATGCGGCTATTGGCAACACTTGAGTTAATTGCACACAACGTTTGCTAATCATAATTCAAATTTAAAGCGATCAGGCAGACCGTGGTTGGGTTGTGGGATGAAGAATTAGCTACAAGCAAGGGGTGTTGCCGCGGTGTCAGCTGCTTTACACCCACAACATTTATAATTAATGGATATACAAAAACTAATCGCCAGGAAGAATACACAATACATAATATATGACAAATATTTAAATAGGCTGCTATGCCAGCGACGCATGCTAGATTTATGTCCGAAATGCGAACAATTTTGAATTTAATGTCAGCGACCGACAGTGCGTATGCGCAATATACATAAATTTCTACTAACTCTGTTTCCATTTAGTTGTCTAACTCGGTCATTTGTTGTAGAGTTTGATGCCAAACAATTAGCTATCGCAATTTTCCATTAAATTTAAATGCATGAAAGCCACATGTTGCAGCGGCTGAGGACAAAAATGTCGTGTTTAATATCATATATTATATGAAAGGCAATCTGCGGTGGTCAGAAACCATTTTATACTGAAATTTCAGTAGCAACATAAAATTTGAGAAAGAAAAAAAATACTACTCGGCTTGTTATCTTCCCAATTATAAGGAAACTTGTGTTTAGATAGTCGGGCTAAAACGTTAGATTTTACATTTCTCATTCAAGTTGACATATTCTTTTATAAATGTTAAGGTTTCAATGTTTCAACATAAAAAATCAACTTTTCAGTATAAAAAGTTCTATAAATTGTAAAAACTATAATTGATAATTTACAATAATTCTTCATTTGCAAATGCCTGTATAAGCATTTATTTATTAGCTCAATGTCTATATATAATATAAGTATATATAAATATGTGGTCATCTTAAAGCTTTTACGATCACATCATTTTCTAATCGCTATTTGCAATTCTTACAGTACTTGCAAAAAGCATAATAGATAAATCAATTCCCAACTAGGAATCGCCAATCTTGTGATATTTGGCAGAACATCTACTTTTTCTAAAAGTCAAATATTTTGTTCGTTCGTTTTTATTTATTGCACTGTCCTCTACTATGGGGTTATGTATAATATGTGCTGTGAAATTTGCACAACAGCGATAAAGCAATAACAACAACAACAATCAAGCATTTGCGTTACAAATTCTAGCACACAAAAGCCCTGACAGCAACTATAATGACGCAGCCTTTGTTGTTGTTTATCGTTGGTCTGCCATGGAAATTAGTCAGTAGAGACTCAAAAGTACAGCGCAACAAAAGCAGCAACAACCAACAACAACAGCCAGCCAAATACTAGTCACAAATATTGCTAATGAATTTCCCGCACGCTTGCTGAGCTCACAGCCAGCCAAGTCGCGTCTCTCTAATCGACTTCCATTTTGCATTGTTTTTATAATTTGTTTTATTTCTATATTTTTTTCTATATACACATTTTTAAACAAAAAAACCCCTGAAACGGAAGTTGGGCGCGTTTTTGTTGGGGCTGGCGCAAAACAAATATAATTAAATGTAATTTTTATAATGACAAATGCGTTTTATTGTTATTTCAACCACTAACCGAAACGCGAAACGAAACTCGGAGGCAGTAGCAACAAATGCCACGCCCTAAAAACCGACCTAAATTGGTCGCAAATTGGAGCAATTTTCGATTTCCTTGCTCTCGATTTAAACCTTAAGTTTGGCCTTAAATTTACATATCACCGTCGATTTTTGGGAGTTGCGGGGCACTCGGGGAGTTCCCATCGTGGCACATAATTATCTCCACGATTCCTGTCGCTCGAATTGGGTCAATTGGGCGGTGCCACGCCTTCAGCGGCGCTGATTACATACAAAATGGTCTCGCTGGGCTAGCTGGGCTGTACTGTAGCTAAACAGATCTATTGTAATAGATACAGTCTGTTGTGTAAAGCAACAGACGCTAATCGATGCACGCCCACGTTCCCATCATCATCATCATTATCATAATGATCATTATGATCGTTGTAAAGAGGCGGAAAACGAGTTTCTCAGCTGCTGCACTGCTGCTGCTGCCATAAAAATAAAGATGATTTTGGGCCGGCGGATCACTTGTCAGCGGTTTGGCGTCTCACAATTGCCATTTGCAACAGCAACAAAAACTGCAGCTGCAACAACAACAATTAGCATTGCTAATGGCGGCAGATAAACTAAACGCAAGTGCACGTTACGTGTACCCCGCCCACGTGATCTCAGCCTTTTATATATATAAGTAGATGCCCCCCGCTCATCTTTTGACCCTGCTACAGATACTCGCTCGCATCCAAAAGATACCTTGAGTCGTAGGTAGTTTTCTATCTATGACCAAATTCGTCAGCTGGGCTCTGGGAGGAGATGAGCCCGAGCTTGAGCCGGGGCTCGAATGCGAGATGGCATCCGCCCAGTGGCTCCGACACTGCTAGACTACAAAATACTTAAAGTGGTTTTGGCCATAAATGTTGGTGTTGTTTTTTGTTGGCATTGTTATTGTTGCTGCGCAGCGTATCGTGCTCACTGTTTGTATCATAATTAATATTTAATAGGCCAGACAACTTTTCTTAAAACTGACTTTGATATACCCAGGCGGCTGATTCGTAATACGTTGTGCACTATCATAAAATGGGTATTATAATATGTTAGTCAGCCAGAAAGAAGGGAATCATCATGACTTGGTTAAAATGTGACCACGGAGGAATGTGGCATAAACTGCAAGCAAGATCTGTAAATTATATTTTTATGAGAGGCTAGAATCTAAGCTTTCCCATAGAGACCAGGATTCCGAGAATTTGGATCCCTTTAACGAGGCTTAAACTTGTTGAGAATTACAAGCGAAGAAAAAACAGCAAAGCAGGCCAGTTCACTTTTGAATTTGAACCGATTTGCTCATATTTTGATGTCTATTGTCAGGAAAGGGTCTGAAATGAGAAACCGAAACCTTTCCTAAAATGAACAGAGGATTTTTCGGATATTATAAACATGCCAGAATTATTTTAGTATATTTCATTCATATAAAACTAATTGATATGCATTTGAAGGAGAATAAACAGAAAATTTATAAAAAAACAGCAAATGATCTATTCAAAAATATAATCTGTAGAAATGTAGCAAAATAACCAATCGATGCAATAATCTTT